AAATCACCTGTGGTGAGATGGGCAGCTATATAAATTGATTTAATAAATAAATAACTGTGTTGTGAGGATCAGCCTTTGATAGTGAATACCCTGTTCTGTAAATAAGGCAGGACCTCCCACACTCATATCTGATTATCATCCCATTGACTGAAACACCTGACTCTAATTTCCCTTTCAAATGAACTGATAATCCTAAAGGTTCACATACTTTTGCCACACAAAAATACAGGTAGTCCTCACTTACTGACTGCGATTAGGACCGGCAACTCTGTCACTAAGCAATGTGGTTGTAAAGTGAAAAATCACGTGACCGCACCCGATGTATGACGACAATTTGTCATTTCCAGCTGCAGTCGATAACTGCGACATCATGCAACTTGTGACTTCCTGCTGGCTTCCCCATTGACTTTGCTTGTTGGAAGCTGGCTGTGAAGGTCGCAAATTGTGATAATGTGATTGTGGGATGCTGCTACTGTTGTAAATGCATGTCGGTTGCCAAGGGCCCGAGTCACAATCACATGACCATGGGAACAGTGTGACAGACTGGTCAGAGGACTGGTTGTAAATCTCCTTAATCAATGCTGTCATAACTTCAAGTGGTCACTGAACAAATGGTTGTTAAGCAAAGGCTACTTGTATGTTGCTTTGGATCATTTTCCTCAAATTAATGAATGAGTATAATGTTTTTGACTAATTTATTTAATTGGGTTCTCTTTATCTAGTTTTAGGACTTGTGTGGAGAATATATCAAGTTTATGTCATATTTATGCAGAAATATTGAAAATTCAAAAAGGTTCACAAACTTTTAAGCACCATTGTACATGAAAGAAAATCTCAGTATTTTTCTAGGGGCACACACACCCGCACACAGACACAGTAAAATGTCATGCAAAGTTCTGTATTCACAGTTTTTTATGATTCTGCTAATTCTAATTTCAGGGAACAGATGCCTCAAAACTAAAGTTTATCAATGAAAATTTCATTTTGTTTTTACTGTATTAATCAAAAAGGGGACAATTTTGAAAAAAGCCAATGGATTATTTTATACATTTCTTCACAAAATTGTGATTTAAAATAACATTTTAAAGCAAACTTCAGCTAAAGAGATCATCCCTTATTTGAGGCAGTGAAGCTGCCGCCTTGTTGTTTTGTAATCGTCATTAATAAATGTAGCAACAACACCCTGTTTGCATGTAATCCTGTCATCCATAGCCTTTGTTTTCCCTGGAATGAGCCCCTTTTGCCTAATAAAGTACAGCTAAACAGTTTCTTGGCACCAGTATAAATCAAAGTTGAAGTTAACTAAAATTATCTGTGAGCCAATATCTGAAATATATTGTAGCATATAGGTATAATTTACTCCAGGAAAGAGAGATCTGTGTTTACAGAATCACAGGTGTCATCAGTTGCAAGCAAGACAGATTCTCCTTCTCCTTTACAGTCTCCAGTTGGACCTCCAGAGGAGAATGTGCTGAGGAAAGAGAGGAGGGAAAGTCTGTCCCTGAGGTTACTCTGTTCATGCAGTGTTAGATTTTAATCTTTGTGTCTCTTTCTTGATGCACATTTCACCTGATATAGAAGTAGGAAACTTGATCTATAAACAACACATATCACATAGGAACTTGATCAAAGTTAATATTTTAATTTCTGGTTTTAGTTAAAGAAACTGTATTCCTAGTTTCTATGTTATATTTTTAAATTAAGGACGTATAACATGAAATAAACATGTTAAAAAGGAATAGATATATATTCCCCATGGTCTAATCCTCATATTTAAATGTTTCAAGAATTGATTCACATTTTTCCATTTCTAAATAAAAAATTCAAAGTAATTATGCTACAAAAATAGATGTAAAATATTAATAATTTAATATGATTGCATTAATAATAAATTTGTTGACTATCTATGGCTTGGATTCTGTTGGGGTCTGCCATACAGGTAGTCCCCAGTTTAAGAATGAGTCCCATTCCCAAGGTCTGTCCTTAAGTTGAATTTGTATGTAAGCAGGAACAGTATTATTGTATAATACTGTATAAGCAGTATTGTGTAATTAACTGAAACCGTTGTATATTTAACTTGAATCATTGTGTATTTAACGGAAATTTTGCTACTGTAGGCTCCGTTCTTAACTATGGGTCATCCACAAACCAGGCATTCTTAACCCGGAGACAATCTGTATATGGCCAGACTGACCTGTCCAGAAATAAGAGCTGGATAAATGAAATACAGTGCTGTAAAAGTTTTGTCAAAGAGAACCAGAGGGAGAGAATTATAGGTGTGAATGATAACAATCAATGAACCTAGAGGTCATCAGTAGGAACATACTTAATCTGGTTTGCTTCAGTGAGAAGAAAGGAATGTTATGTAAAGAAGTGAGTTGATGACCCTTCTGGACCATTCAAATGTTATTTGATCAAAAACCTGATTACAATTTCCATATTTGCCACATATCTTGAATGAAAATGGTATTATTCCTCTATAGCCACAGTAAGTCTGCAGTTCATTCATTGATCTGCTAATATAAACTTTGAATTAATTTGAAGCATCCCCTGTTTTCATGGTTTATTGTGTGACTACTGTACATATTCTAATAAATAAATAAATATATAAATGCATTCCTGCAAATTAAGTATACATTGTTTTGGTTTAGAACGTTTTGGTTTATAGGTATTTGTAGGTGTCAAAAGGAAAATAAGAATAGTTCAACAACTGTACTTTTTCTGGTCTTCAAAAGGAGAATTGTTTCTCTGAAAGATAAATCATTTACAGTCAAAAAGATTTGCAATTCCTAAAATGTGACCTTTATTACAGTCACATAAAGCAGCATCTTCTGTATCTTCTTGGTTGTCTCTGTCAGCATCAGTAGAAATTCCCAAAGGTTTAATGTCAAGAATCTTTTGGAGTCCATAGTCTTTGATTCACCCTCAAGCTTAGGTTGTTCTATTCAGGAAGCTGTCATAGAATTGACTCATCAAAAGCTATGAAAAGATTTGACATTTTTACTGTTAACATTTTACATCTTTTCCTTCCTTTCCCTTTTTATTTTTATTCATTTCTTTTGTAGAAAATAGGGTAATGAAATATTTATACATTTGAATTAAAAAAAAATAGATTTTTTTCTGTTCTGAATTCTTCTGTTTAGATAAACAACTCATGTTCTTTTTCCAGACTAGGTTCTTTCTACTGTCCTGTCACAAATTATCTGTGGAATTTTAAGTTGCATCCCGTAATTGAGCTTTCAGTGTTATGTTTAATATTATTTTGTATAATTTGTACTACGTGTCATGAATTTATTCTTAGAACTTGATTATCAAGAGATTTATTCAGTCTGAAACTTACATTGTACTGGTTGTTATTCAAAATATCTTGTTTGTCTTATGTATTTACCTCTTTAGGAGAAATTGTATAAACATTCCAGTTTTATTAGTACACTAGATTTCTTTTAAATGTGTAGGTTAAAAGTTGTAAGCAATACTATGTTTATATCTTTATTACCTAGGTACCATGGACAGGGTATCAGAGTAGATTTGCAGTTGATCCTCGAATCATTACTCATCAAACAGCCATGGCATATAATGTGAATCTTTTACAAGCACATGGACGTGGATCCCCCATTCCCTATGGTCTTGGACATCATTCACCAGTTAGTATAGGACAACAGCAGCTTCATCATTCAGATAAAGAACAACTTGAACTAAATCGAAACAGTGAGTTAAATCTCTTTTTCTTAAAAAAAATGAAGTGGGGTGTTTCGTTTGCAGTTTAAATGTAATTAATTGTTTGGTATAATTGTAACACTGATATGTATGTTGTAAATGGTATTGACAAATGTGTTTATAAAACTGGCTTTTTTATAAGGAATACAGTATATAATCAGTACATTTTATTTACCTCCTAGTCAGTGGGATGTGGGTAAGAGTTTATCAGTTTGCCCAGTAACCTCTAGAAGAGAGGTCCCAGCTTTCATTAAGTAGTAGGAGCATGCTTGGAGTAAAATTGGGCTTTGGATGTTCTTGTGGCATACTTTCCAAAATGTGCCAAACTTGGCCTTACTGTTAGCAGAGAATGCCATATGTGGCACAGGTGCAGCTAAGGCTAGTAATCTAGTCTACACCTTCCCGATGTGATTAAAAAGGGTTATGTGAAAGCCTCAGTTGCCCAAAACCATGATGGACTGCAGAAATCAATATCTATGGGCCTATCTGAGGATAACCATGGCATATGGAAAATTGCAGCATGGAATATAAGAGGAATCAATAGTAAAGAACATGAATTAATGAATGAATGAAAAGAAGAATAGGTAGGTTGTGTCTTTAAGAAACTGAGGGAATCTCGGGGGAGATGGCAGCATATAAATTAAACAAACAAACAAATAAATAAAGGAAAGGGGAAGAATGTAATGGATCTGAATTAAGGTACCCTGATCTTGTGGGGTGGAATTGACAAATACATTCAGGGAAATTAATGCATAGGTTTAATTATGGATGAAAGGCCATATGTCATGCCACAAAGTATGATTTGGTGTTGGAAGTGCATATGAAAGTGGAATCCATGGTTGATGAATCCAGTGAATGCTTGAAAATAGAAGAACCACATATGAGCTTTTGGAAAAATAATACAATGTTTTTAATGACTGCAACCCAGGGAAAGACATTATTCTGCTAAGTGACATAAATGGGTGGGTGGAAATGAGGCAAGATAGTTCAGAAAAAATGATTGTGCTATTTGGAAACCTAGGAATGAATGAGAACAGTGACTGTTTGATGAATAAAAAAAGATCTTTTTCATTTCAGTGTGTGGTTTAAGCATATATTCACTCATATGTACAAATAGCAGAAGAATTAATATGATTATAAAGCTCAATAGATGTTATTGTTTATGATGAAAGAATAACAGAATTAGTGAAGGATACAAGATGATGAGAGATTGTAGTACATTCTTTGGTACTGTGAAAAGAGGATTATGGAAAAAATGGACATGGAAGAAAATGAAAGGAGTGAAAGAAGCAAGAGTGATAGTAGAAAGACAGTAGGAAAGGGAAACGGAAGTCCTATATGCAAAAGGATTAGAGGATAATCTTCCAAAAAAAATGAATGGAAAGTGGACATAAGGGAAGTAGGTATGGGAGCCTCTTGGAACAGGATGTATGATGTCCCCTTCCTTATTTAACAAGTAGTAGTAATCTAAAGAAACTAATGGCAGGATTTAAAAGAAAACAAAATCTAAATCTAATTTATACCACTATTCACTATACTTTTCCATGCCTTTCTGTCCTTGCAAACTATTCTTGCTTCCACCAAATAATAATAATGATAATGATAATAATAATTTATTAAACTGGTATGCCATCCAACTGTCAACGACTCTGGGTGGCTTACAATAATCAGAAATTACAATAACATTGATAAAGATAAAGATGGCAAGTGTGACAGACCAGATGGAGGATATATCAAATCATATGTTGTCTTTTGGTTTTTAAATTTCTTATCTTTCTCTTTTTTGAGGATCTCAACTCCATCTAACCACCGATTTCTCAGTCTTCTCCTTTGACTCTTCTTCCTTTATTTGTTTACCACTTCTCGGTAGATGACTAAACCACCTCAGTGTACTTACTGGATTCAGCTCACTCACTTTGGTGTTCAGTCCATATTCTCATTATCCATTTATTCTTTCCCACACTTCTTAAGTTCCTTGTTCTTTCAACTTACTTTTGTGTTTTTCTTGACATTCCCAACTCTAAATTCATAAAACAAAGTTGGCAGAAGGGCAGGCATTTTCTTTTCTTTTGATATTCATTTCTTGCAACAGACCATATACCATCTGCTACCTTTGTACCAACCTTTCCACATCAAAATTCTCCAACCATTTCTCTCATTTTTGGGAAACATTCTAGTAAGATAGTCAAATTCATCTACTTGCTTTATTTTTTTCCATTATATATAAATTGCTATTGTTTACTTAATTTTTACCTGTTGGACATAGCTATCTTGGTCTTTGATAAATTAATTTTGAAATCCATGTTCCTCATTGCATCATACAGCCTATCTAATATTTGGTGCAAATTATTCAGATTTTGGCCAACAGCTTGACATTAAATGAATAAAAAATATCCACTTTAATGTCAACCCAAATATATATTTAGCACAAATATTCCTTATATATTTATCTATAAATACATTAAATAACTAAGGGGACATAGCACATCATTGTCTTAGATATTTTTCTTAGGCAGCAGTCTTTCTGGGTCACTTCTTTTCAATCAGCTTGCGACTCATAAACTCAGTTCATATTATATACTTTAGTATATAAAACAGTACCCGATCCTTCCTTCCTTCCTTCCTTCCTTCCTTCCTTCCTTCCTAGGGCTGAGAGAAAGTGACTGGCCCAAGGTCACCCAGCTGGCTTTG